CCCCCCCCCCCCCCCCCCCAATTTATCCATCTCTCCTCATTTATGAGTTTTAAAATGCGGGTTATCCATAAGGGCTGCTCCGAGCCACATTTTTTCTAGACTAATTTATCTCTGATAACACTTCTCCTTCTGTAATTACTTCAATATACCCCTGGGTTTTGTCAAGTTAAGTAGGTGGCTTAGATTGGTGTGAAAATGGAGATTTAGAAACTTTCTCCCTCCTCCCCTTCCACCCCCCACCCCCTTTTAATCAGTAATCAATTGGATCTGAAGTGAATCGCATTTGGATTGATTCATTCTACTTCGTTTTGCATGGCTCACCTATGTGGCATTCGTATTTTGGTTATAATATTCCCCAGGGAGTCTGTCTTGGACTTCTTGGTGTCTGTTTTTAACATTAGAGGGGGAGGGGGGGGGGGAGTTGGCAAATGTGGATATAAAATTTAATCTTACTATCTTTGAAATCCCGATGGCACTGCTGAGATCCTTTGTTATCGATTTTGTACTTTTTAAAGCGCTCAGTGATCATCCTCCTTGGTTAGTTTTCTGTTTCTTTTCACATACTTATTGCTGTTCGCCTTGCTTTTAACTAAGGTTCCTTATTTCTATTTAAGTAGTATATGTCATTGACCTTTTTACGATTTTCTGTTTTAAATTATTAACCATATTCTGATTTTCTTATTTTAGCTTGAAACTAAACTTAAGAGTGCATGTTGCGACCTCGTATTCGCTAATTCACAAGTTGAAGCTGAGTGGCATCGCTGGGAGTCAGAGCGGGTCAAGGAAACAGCAGAAGCACTGAGCACTCTGTCAAGTGCCTATGTCGCTTACTGGAGTAGTTTAGCTGAATCTTGGCGCGATGTTAATGCCCTCTTAAATAACCCTCCTCAAAGCACCAATGCGTCTGGTAATGTCGTTGAAACGGACCTTCTACTGGAGTCGACTTCGGTAGATGCCACTCCAACAGCTACCGAGTTGACAAAAGACAGCCTCCTTAAATCAAATTCAGTAGAAATTACTTCATGCCATGGATGCTCTCCTAATGTACCTGACTTATCATCTTTATCGAAGGATACTGGAAGGAACCTCGAAGACCAAAAGGAGAGAGAGTGGACGGTTGTAGACTTGTCAGATTCTCCATGTGTTGAGAAGAAGTTAGAATCCACGGCAATAGAATCTGACTAGATTAACTATTATATTTGCACTGGGCGAACCTATGAATTATTTTTCACTTTCTAATCTGTTTTCTGTCTTTATTGTGATTTTATTTTATTCTTGAAACATTTTGGTGTATTTTCAATATAAATTTTTGTATAAAATAAAGTCTTCTTTTAGTAAACCTGAATGAAAATTTTCGGAACTAGACAGTCAAATTTATAAAACAAAAATTCTTTTCAAATATGCCGGAAAGTGGAATGTAGTAATTTCAGCCTTGAAATGTATGAGCGTCTTGTGGTGGTGGTTGGGGGGGGGGGGGGATCGCTCTGTTCTGCACGTCTGTTTTCATGCATATTTTCTATCCCTTCTCTGTCTGTCTCTTTTACACCTTTGAAACACTCTTCTGTTCCCCATCCCCTCTCGACTTTTTTCAATTTGATGTACCTTCCTCTTTGTGAAGCCTGAAGTCAACTAAAGGGCTAATGATAACCTTCAAGACGCCTGCCATTTGATATAATAATAATAATAATTCTCAAGTACCTCGATAATTCATTATGAATCCATGCCAAGGTGACCAAAGTAGAAGACACAGAAAGAGGTATTATTACCTTCATTTCGTACATATCCTTAAAAATATGCCACTCGATTGTTTGATTACTTTTATACCAGGGGATAATACGTTCATAAGGCAGATATCGTGCTAAATGGATAGAAGGAGATAGAAGAAATTGGCCTACTAATGGCGGTGTAGAGATGGTATGCAGTGAACTAGATAAGGTTTGTGCACCTCTAAATTATAAATTGTTATACCACTTTGTGCTGCCGAGTGAGTCACAAGACACTGTAACCTAGATATTATTATTAAATTGTTGCAAATTGGCCTTATACTGATATGCTAAGTAAGCTACTTGAAAGCACATAATAAACTATCCTAAGAATTTGAGAAAACCTCAATGAATTAAGTGCCTTACACGAGGGGCATGTGGTGACATCCTTGAAGTCTAATAAATTTCAAATTGAGTCGTATTGAGTTTTCACTGCAACAAATCCATGTATTACATCATAGAGATAAAATTTTGAGATAGCACCTTCATAGAGTGATAAATTAACGATCGATTGTTGGCACAGAAAATGCTGTATGTAATGAGAGCGACCACAAATGCTTTTTGGAATGGAAAAATACTCCAATAAATAATCCAATTTAATTAAAACGTGAGTCCAATCGATGTGACTAAATGCTAAATAGCCTCTGTCGAATTCCTTTGTATTTATTTAAGTTATATAGTGGAAAACAAATTTAGTAAAAGTATTTGAGGCCAAATACATATAGAAAGTTTAATTCAACGTATTGGAGCTCATGTCCATTTGTTTATACCTTTTTAAATTAATTTTTTAAAATAATATCTTAACTATTAATTTCAAAATATGCTAAAAATATTTTAATATATATTATTTATAACATATAACATATCTGTTACTCTTGAATACAAGTTCGGATCATTAACTAAGTCATTCCTATATTATTATTGTTATTATTATTATTATTATTATTAAATAATTATAAATCTATCGACATTATTTAGTTTTGAATTAATCATAAATGTTAACTCTTAAGCCGATTAGAGTATTTTTCCTTCTTAGTGAATGTGTCAAACTACTGAGCAGAGGTTGGCATATTTCCACATACACTTTGATGTCTTTAATCAAAACTAGCACATCCCTTCTGATTGGTCGGATGTTACTACAATACGTGATATAAATATGAAAGGGATTCACAGCTTTCCTTATTTTATTTACGATGTCCCATACAATATTAAACGGATCGAGATCCAATTACTCTTTGATCGATTTGGAGGGTGAGAAAATTAGTGACGTCTGTCGATACTGTGATGACACAACTTCCCCAAAATCAACTTGGTGTTAGTTAATTTTTCAACTATTTTACCCCAATTTTAACTAGATGTTTCATCTAACCGTCTCACTGTAAGTGATTACAAGATACTCATGGACAACGGATGGCGTAGGTAAGGCTGAAATTGCATTCACCTGACACCTGTAGACATGGAAATCAGTACTACAAAACATTGGGGCATAAGACTTGCTGTCCACCATACACCATCCGCTGTGATGCTGAAAATTTCCGAATCTCAAAGGCTCAAAAGAAAGCGCTTAGTATAGTCTCCACCTTCTTGAAACGCGGCGAAAAGCCAACTGAAGCCACAGACGAAAGAAACGCATCAATTATGTCAGTTATAAGTCAATCTGATAATTCCTACGAATTTAAGCCGTGTGCATATTCTTCGAAAAGTGGTCATATAACAGATGACCCTTCTCAACACGAGAAGCCACTTATCTCCTGTTCCTCGGAAGATTCAGGAATCTATTTAGACGAGCATGGCAGCAAAGTTATTGGAAGATCGGGTTCTTCAAAGAGGAAACGATGGCAGGCCCTAAAAGAACATATGGTAAGGAAGGCAGAAAAGCTTGGTGTTCCGTATGAGGAAATTATGCAACAATATCTGGAAAGACGAAGGCGACGCCTGGCAAAGAATAAGCCTAAGGAGATTGAAGAATACCTGGAACAGGAGATACCCAACCAGAACTTTGCCCACACATTGGATGTAAGCCAATTCACTTAGAAAAATTAGTGAACCCTCAATTAGATTAGACTCTGTCGTTGTGCACCTCAGTCCGAGGAATTCAAAGCCACCTATGAGCAGGAATATGATATCTATTACAAGTATCAAGTTATCGTTCACAAAGCAAATCCATCCGAGGCTAAACGCGAAGATTTCAATGAATTTCTAGTAGATTCCTCCCTTGTGGTAAGTGCCTTCAGCATTAACGATTTTTTGAGAATGACCACGATGAGAAAGCCCAGACAGCTGGGGCACCCCAATTCGGTTCCTATCATCAACAGTACTGGTTGGATGGAAAACAGTTGATTGCAGTAGGTGTTATTGATATCGTTCCCGGGTGTTTGTCCTCAGTTTACTTCTTTTACGATCCCGAATACTCCTTCCTTCATCTTGGAACTTATTCAGCTCTCCGGTAGGCGCTGATCTATCTAATTAACCGTTGCCTAATTTCAGGGAAATCGCCTATATAAGGCATCTTAATCGAACCTACGGTTCTTCGGTCCCAGCCTTATCTACTTTTACCCAATATTACTTGGGATATTATATTCATTCCACTCCAAAAATGCGATACAAGAAAGCATTCTCCCCTTCATATCTTGCTTGCCCTGAAACTTCCAACTGGGTCCCAATAGAGAAATGCGGGCGGCTTCTTGATAAAACCAAGTACACTCGACTGGCTGACTGCAATGAAAAGCGACTTCTATCATCAGTGTCAGAAGATGAACCAAGGCTCCAACTATCTTTCTCAAACGATTTGGCTAACAAATTGCATGATATAAATTTCACGGTTGAGGGCGATGCAATTAGAGTGAATCTGGAAGATGCTGAAAGCCTACTTTCACAGAAAGAGCTTGACTTAGTCCGGGAATGGTTTACTTTGGTCCCTGATTATGGTACAATGTATATTAACTGCAAGAATTAAATGCCTTAACAACAAGAATAATCGATTTTAGGACGACCTTCAATTTAAATAAATTTCTATCATTCCAAAAAATCTAGCTTTTAAAACGTATAAGGACTTTGAAAAATTTTTAGATAGCCTTGATTTTGTTAATAAACATCCATTTTAAATTTAGTATTACTTAATTAAAAAAACATTTCATTTTTATTTGATTCAATTTACGTTCTAATGAAATAAGTACTCCTTTGAAAAGTTAGTCTTGATCAAATTCTAGCAATTCGCTCTGTTAAATCCCTCCCCAAAATTAGCCAAATAAAGCGAGTTGGTTTCATGAAATAGCGATTTCCTCACTTGAGTGACTCTAATTCCCAGAGTAAATGTACTTTAAAAGTTCGGTTAGGCTTGGAGCTATCCCTTTACAAAGCCAATTAAATGCTTGGCTTTATTCCCTTTTAATCTATAAGATAGAGAGATTTCAATTGTGTTCATCGTGAAAAGTTTATTCTTATGATATTGCTGAATAAGACGCATGCGTGTACCACTCATGTTTGAGCGAACATTGATTGGTTAAAAGACATAAATGAGAACCGAGTGAACGTAGGGTTGAGTGATGCACCTGCGTCGTGCATGCGTGCGTGAAATCTGGAGTTGGGTCCTCTTGTGCGTTTTTGCTAGAATGGACTCCACAAGCCCTCATAAATTTCAAGAGAATAGAATACTGGGAGTTGGATCAGGTTGCCATAAGAAAAGATGATTAGTAGAACAAAAAAAGAGGTTATGCAAAGGAACAAGCACCAGTATTGAGAGGGTGGAATGCGAGTTTCTAGTACATAAGGCGTGGAGTTGACCGATTCCACGTTCATTACTTTTCTGTGAAATTTAATAATCCTGCAAACATAGAGTTATAAGGAAATATGGAGTTCCTTGGGTCGGGAATTAAACATGGGAACTCGTTCAAAATAACTGATGAAAACAAGTTTCATTCAAAAGTCTGCCCTCATTAATATAGAGAGAAGAAAAAGTCGATCCTTTTGCAATGCCGTTCAAAATGTCTCCATCTCATTAGCCCTCTTATAAAGATCGGTATCATAACCAACTGCCTAATAGGCCTTTTTTGAAAGCTTATCATTACGTAAGGCTAAGGTATAACATTGCAAATTATCAAGATGATCCCAGCAAGAACTCTTCCATTCAATACCTAAGAGTGGACATTGTGAATAAGGACAGTCGATCTGATTGGGTAAACTTGAACATAGGGGTGGGGGAGAGGGGGGTGGATAGTGGGGTGGTAGGAGGACAGCCAGTGCTATAAATAGAGGGGTGGGGGAACAAGAAGCCACAGTAGAATTCCATAAAACTATACCCCAAGCAATTCAATTTTTCTACGTAAATTTCGTTCAAGCAGCTTAAGATCGTCTTGCCTACAGTTACTACCCAAATGTGCAAATTTCAAGTATTTTACCTTGGTGTAGATGGGGTGTGGGATAGACTTGCCTCCACGTGGTGCACCCTGGGCAACGTATACTCATACGGCAAAAAAGTCTATTAACCGGCAGGTGACTTCTGACTTCAAACTGCCATGATCCCACTGTATGTCATATTCGTCATATTGGTGTAGAGTATAATAACGAAACCTCACAAATAACCTCTTGGTATATTGAAAGCATCCTTTTTAATTTAAACCAATATTATAACCATACCAGTGACAACTTGCATTTTACGCACCCAAAAGTCATTATTATGCCAAAAAATCTTTTGTAATATACTTGACGTAGTTTATGAATTTAATTTAAGTTGTCATTCGGAAAGTGCATTTTTCTCCCATAAAGCAAATAATACAATTGGTAATCGATGCCAAAAGTTGCAACTTTGTTAAAAATCAAATTAATTTGTCTTTTTAACATGAGAAAATTTTATTCATATCAAATGGCAGGATTTATGATATTTATCATTAGGCCTTAAGTTGACTTCGGGCTTTACAGAGAGGAGGAGGGACATCAAAGTAACAAAAAGTGGATTGGTGGAGGGGAGGGGAGAGGTGGGGTGGGGACTGAAGAGCGATTCACAGACGAATAAGGGACAGACAGACAGACACAAATGTAGAGAAAAAGGTAAGGTAAGATGAGTACTGTAAAAGTGGCCGAATATGGCACGTAGTCGGGTCTTGGTACTTTGAAGTCCGAAGTCAACTGCTGGTTTATAGACACTTTGGCCAAATGCATATACGTCGTGCAGGAAATTTACTGCAAATCCTAAAGTGCCTAAGATCTCGATTACTCTTTAATCCATCTAATTGTCTCTATTGGCCAGTTGAAATAAACACCTAGTTTTTGTCACATTGGTGTAGCGTCAAGTCTATCCAAGCTCATTCTACACCTGACCTCGAGAGATGGCGAGATGATCTTATGGAAATCTCACCCTCCTCCACTTCTCTTGTTGCCCAAAATTAGCCATCGCGATTAACCATCAGCAGATGAGAATCGCTCTAGTAACATCTGCCTTGACAGTTAATTGTGGTTCGTTCCCACTAACTGGGTCTAGTTTAGTTGGCTGCAACTCCAAAGTGTTGGCCGTGGATTCAACTTCGTCGGTTCACCACCTGGAGCTGTTGGCAGCTTTCAGACCTCATGAATAGCAATTCTTCGCTTTCCAAATTCTATTACCGGCCAATTTGCCACATTTACCGTCCATCCAAAGAAAAATGTCTTAATATTCCGCGTGCAGTACCTCCAACCGATTCCTCGCTCGTTTTCTGTTAAATTAAATAAACGGCAGACAGATAACCGTGCCCGAACAATTTTAATGGGGTCACCTTTCTACTAGTCAGAGTAATAGTGAATATGGTTTTTTATTTTCCGAATTTGTACGAAAAAAGACGGATATTTCAATTGCGAGGGGATCAAAACCAATGTATAAAAAGTCAAACTTTGAATTTCGGAAACGAGTTACCGAATGGATACCTATTGAATAACTTGTGGAGCACAGACTGCTATCAAACCTCTCCAAGGGGATCTCGCTCGCTATAGAATATTCTGCAAAATGCAGTCGTACTGGCGACCGTGTTGCCATCACCCGCGTCGAGCAGGTAGAAACTAATCAGCTAAGCAGGGCATAAGACCCTTTCAAGGTCAGTGTATTTAATTATGGTTCATATTTTACGATTCGCCTTAGATGTAGCAAACGATCTCACGCTATACCTTCCTTGTTCTCGCCATTTTGAGAACAGCTCAGCTAATTGGGGAGCAAGACTTTTCCTCTGAAGGCCTCTGCCGTGGTGCTTGTTTGCAGATAGTTGGACTTCTAAGAGAATTATTAGGACTTAGAAAGGGCTTATTTGTGTAACATCAGCTACTATAAATGAAACTCTTTATTATATTTTTGGTTTTTTTCTTGCATTCATTAGAAGTGGCTAGTCTATTCTAAGACATGTTGGACTAATGACTCACCTATCAATGAACGCGAATCTGTCAATTATTCGAGCTTCATCTTCCGATTGACTCCTCGATCCCCTTGCACTTTTTCCTTCTTTATTTTTTCCTTGGAGCTGTGGTCCCATTGGACTCATGGTCTTTTCTCTAGATGAAGGCAGTTGTATAGCATTATTCATAAAAGGGTCATTAATTTTAATGGGGAAATAACATAGTTAATTTTCTTAGCTCTTAAAATAGTCTCATCTTGTAGATATCCACTTTCAATTTTTAACAGCCTTTTTTTAAAGGTATTCATAATAAATAGAAGTCAAAAACGATTGCGCATTCCCATGGACAAGTTCTTCAGCACCTATGAGAATAGACCAAGACACCTGAAAACGCAATCTGGTCTAATACAGAAAGCCATAGAACTGAAGAAAGCATTACAAATCGGTGACAAACCAAAAAGCCTCTCTCCCCCCATGAACCCATTAGCAGACATTGATGTAGTTGACACACTTTCTAAGAAGGGGACAACGATTTTGCAATGCATGGACCGGCTGATGTCTTTCCACACAATGAAGGCCTTAATCAGGAGAGAATTCCAGACCTCAAGGTGCAACGAAACTAAAGCTCGAACAAAGGAGAAACAGTGGACAGTGGCAATCTCCCACATACCCGACTGGCCAAGAATCGAAGCCGTTGCTGAGTTTAGACTACGTACCGGACACGATTGGTTGGCAAAACACCTTCACAGATTGGGATTATACACTCAACCCACATGCCCCCTATGTAACCTACAGGAGGAAATGGAGAAGACCCACCTTATTCGATGTCCAGCCCTAAAGACAAGTACGGAAAGCCAAAGATACTGGGAAGCAAGAAGACGGCTAATGAATAGCTATTAATTAACTGCTATAACTGTACCCACCCCCCTTCTTGGGGGAAGCTGAAGTCAAAGATTAAGGGCTAATGATAAATGTCATAAAGCCTGCCATTTGAAATAAATAAATAAATAAATTTTTAACAGTGATTGCCTTCTACACCCCGAATGATTCCAGATTAGGGTTTTTTGAAGATGGACAACTTGGTCTTCGATGTCGCTTAGTGTATTTCGATTTCACTTGGTTTTGAAATCGTTTATTCACTGGTTCACGGTGAATTTGAGTGGGTTCAAGGCGCTTTAATTGATCTATTACTTTTTTGCAATGATACGAAAGGTAGATGTGACGTTAAATAGGTTGCTAATGCGGCGGCTCAAACACGACATTCCATCATGATAACACTGTTCTTTATCCTTGACACTTCACGTCAAAAATGAAAGCTACAATATCCTGTGCCAATTTAGCTTTTGTTCTAATAAATATAAGCTCTAAAAGTAAATTGATACTTAATGGAACTTCAAATTAAACAAGGTAATCTTACGGTTTGAGTTTGTCAAAATCATGAGTTTCCTCTTCAGTTTGTTACTGTCCTTGAAATATAGGCCATTTGTTCAATGGAATGATTTTAAACAACATTATTTTCTGTTCAATTGCAACCATTCCTCCCCCCCCCCCCACCCTTCCTCCCACCCACCCCTCCTTCCCAGCATCCGTTTGCATATTGATT